GAGGTGGAGGTTGGTCTCTTCTCCCTAGTGCCTAGCGATAGGACAAGACGAAACGGTTTCAAGTGCGCCAGGGGAGGTTCAGGCTGGACATTAGAAAGAACTTCTTCACTGTTAGACTCGTTAAGCATTGGTACGGGCTCCCCAGGGACGTGGTGGAGTCACCATCCCTGGAGGTGTTCAAAAAAACATTTAGATGTGGCACTTCGAGACATGGTTTAGTGAGTTTAGCGGGCATAGTGGCATTTAGTATATGGTTGGACTTGATGATCCTTGAGGTCTCTTCCAACCATAATGATTCTATGATTCTATAACAGTCATCTAGGATTGACGAGTCATTATATTCCCAAAAAACTTTTTGGCACAGACGATATCAGAGTGATATGCACTCTCACAGTTGAGACCAACAGTGCAAAGGTTTACCTCACCCCGGAACTAAAAGGGCAGCAGAAAACTAGGCGATCGGAAAATAACCCTGGCTCTGAAATTCCTGGAAGTGAGTTTTCTATCATCTTGCTTTGAAAGGGTTTGGGGGCTTTTAAGAACTATGCCTTCAACAGTGATAATAAATGAAGAAAGACAGAATTAAGGGTCAGTTACCTTCCTTTCAAGGGTAAACCTGGCATTTACGAATCTCATTGTACCTTGACAGCCAGCTATGACAATCTTAAAAGATAACATGGCTTACTTGTACTCAGCATCAGTCATATAAATAAAAAAATATGGGAGTCAATATTTGGTATCTAAGGAAAACATGCCAAAATGAAGAAAATTAAAAGAAGAAGTTTCAAATGATAAAGCAAAAAAAAATTGAAGCTGATCAAAATAGCAAGAGAGATAGGGAGAAATATCAAAAAAGCACAAAAGGTCTTAGCACAAAAAGAAGAAACTGGCTAACTGAATTAATCGGAAAACAGATGAAGGACAATAAATACAGAGTTGCTTTCACACTTGAAGGCAAACAGTGTCCTTAACATTTTCAAAGCAGCAGAGTGTTTTAGTCAGAATGTAGAGTTACAGGAAAATTGAGAAAGTCGGGTTTGAATGTTTAGGCTTCCAGACATTTAAAGGAAAACAAACAAAACAGGTAGAGCACTGGATAAAGAGTTCTCTGGAAAAGAAATAATACTCCTTGGCACAAAGAGGTTTGGAAGAATACCTAGCAATAGAGTAGGCACTGTAAGGACAAAAAAAAAAAAAAAATGAAGCCTGACACTTCTGTTAGAGCAGGTGGGAAAAATATCGTCCATAAATTACATTCATTTTCCTCTTACAAATAAGTCACTGCTCATCAGAAAAGATCTGACACAGTATCAGTTTGTAAATTTGTGGGAGAAAAGGGTTCAAAAGCTTTTGACAACTTACTTTCAGAAGTATCTACTCAGCCCACAGAGAAAAAAAATTCCCAACACTGCAATTTGAAAAACTACTCAGTAACTGAATAGAAAGCTACATCTCTAGTGGACACAAATATATATAGCCAAGACAGCTGGTGACAATTTACCAAATAAACTATTAAAGGATCACTCAGGTTAAAAAAAATAAATACTATGTTTTCAGACTGTGCATACAAGTAAGTTTCAAATCACTATTTACTTAAACCATAACACCCAAGAGTAGAATTCTATGAAACCTTTTGTATATTAGAAAATTCAATTTTGTTTGCAATTCTTTGTTTCTGTATTCTTGACCATTAAGTGCCCTGTTCCCAATTTGTTTCTCAGTGGTTAGCAATATGGTGCTGGTGGGAAACATTTTTGAAGGACTACCAAAAGGCTGAAATTTTCCAGAAAAAATTAGTTTATTTATTTTAGTAAAATAACTTATTTCAGTAAAAACTTCCCTGCAGTTCTAAGAGAAAGAGAGATTAGGGACATCCACCACCTACGTATCTAATGAGAACGCTATGAAACATATAAAAAATTCTCCTATTTCCACTTTTAAATCTTTAAAAAGTACATCTGTTAGATAACTTTTGCTTTTTTACCTTTCCCATAATGATGAAGTCTAGTCTTTTCTGTATAGTCTAGAAACTCGCTTTTTTAATAAAGTGAAAAGACTACGAATCTGCTTAACATATTTATTTCTTTTCATCTATCCAGTGCCACAGGGCGGTAGCATGTAGCGCAACACACGTTGATATTTTTGCAAAGCACCACATGACTCACTGTACTCTAATACACTCTATTAATCCTGTTTGGACAGCTGTGACTGTGCATTTGTTAGCTGTGTGTTAATTGTTCCATCTTTTTTCTTCTTTTATTTATCTCTATGGCAAACTATTCAGGAATTTCATTTGTTAGTCTTTTTTTTTTTTTTAAAGTGCGTTTTACCATTAATCTGTTTCCTATGAGACAACAATGCACCCAGCACGTATACTTACTTCCACAGAATCCGTTTATTATCAACTGTTAATCTCATAGATCATTAACAATGATTTTTCTTCTTTTTTTTTTTTAAACAACTGATGAATGCACTAACTTAGTGGACACAATACTAATGTTGAAATTCTATTCTAAACCACTCATTTTTCAACATAACATCTTGCTTTAAGTGTTAGAACTGGTTTCCTTCTTAGATCTTTATTGTACTGGCTATATTTTAAAACTGCACTAATTTAAATACTTGAATTATTCTTTTGCATTTTTGTGAAGTTTTACTACAGATTTTTAAAACATGAGCTCTAGAACATGTATTTGGAGATTCAACCCTCCAAAATACATTACAGGGGCTTTTTTGTTTGTTTGTTATAGAAATGATCTAGTAAAGCTAATAAAACTCATCATCTGTAAATATACACAGCAAGAAAATATACAGTATAGTTTACTGAAAAATACTAACTAGTCTTGATTTGACAGGATTCTGGTTGAAAAGAAAACCAGCTACAGAACTCTGGGGTACACATTACTGGTCTGTGGGCCTGAGCTCAAACTCCCAAGCTTGTACTTAAGACTTGTACAGCCTGAGGTGAAGATTTTTGGTTTGTTCCATTTGATGTTCCCAATGAAATTCACATTAGTTGCAAGTATTCTGCACTACTTAAACATGTAATAGCCTTGCAATCTAACTTCAAGGAGTCAAGTTGAAGATTACCTAATTAAACAAAGTGAAGATACAAAACATCTTGTCTTTCCAACTGGTTAAAATAGTTTTTCCACTTCAAATGCTACTGTCAGTTCTTAACAATAAAATCAGAACTTCTTCAGTTCTACTATGCTGGATTCCAAATTTTTATATTTGGAAAAATTGAAGTAACAAAGAATGCAAGCAGATTATTTTAGGGAAAATGAAAGTAGCCTGGTATCATTGCTGATGAATTTAAGAAATGAAGAGTCATTAACTGTTTTTAAAAAGACATCTGCACTCAATGCTATCTCAAATTTTATATCTGAAATCCCCAAATGTATTTTTTTCACAAAAACTGAGCACTGTAATTTTACAGTGAACATGAAGTTATTTTATACTGCCCTGAACAAGCAGTCTCCATATCTAGTCTTCTCACCATCTCCTGTTTTAAGAAGTTTAATCTGACCTACCTTTTTAGAAGAATATATTCTCTAGAAAATGCTTAGCATCTTTTTTCTTTTTTTTTTTTTTTAAAAAAGAACGTACATTCTGCAGTTCATGTACATAGAATGTTGTTCAACAGCTCATGTTGGTGTAGAAAAGAAGGCCACACATACATGCTCTTTCTATTGAAAGTGATGGCAAATGAAAGGTGCAGCTACAGGCTGTCCTTTTTTCTTGGTGTTTTTGAATTCGATTAAGCATCCTTTATTACAATGTGTTAAACTTCCATTTCACTTACCCAGTGTCCTTGACATCACTGGCAAAGCAGAGCTCAGCACCAAGATTGAGACACAGTTTCCAATGATCTGTTTGGAAATGACAAACAGCATTTAAATTATATATGGGATTGCCGAA